AGCTGTAGCCCAGGATGAGGGAGAGCACGAAGAAGGAGACCCCCAGGAAAACAGCAACCCCTGTGATCAGCTGGATGAAGTGTTCAATCTCCATGGCTATGGGCGTCCGCCCAACCTCTAGGCCTGAGGCGAGCGTGGCTATGCGGCCCATCACCGTCCGGTCACCTGTGGCAATCACGATGCCCCTGGCTGTGCCTGCAACATGGGGGGACATCAGGTTGGGTGCCTTGTGGCTCCCAGCGACTGTAGTCCCGTCCTACTTCCTGAGCAAGGAAACCTATCACGGCGTGGGTGAGCCAAAGCCACAGATCTGGAGGCCACATTTGGTAGGTTGTCCCCACTTGGCCTTCCTTTCCCAGGATAGATCGCCAATCCCAGAATCGATACAACAGCAAATTATTTTCTTTTGTACTTGGTCCTGGGGAGAAGCTTGCAAATAATCTCAAAGGTCAAATAGAGGAGATTCAATACATAAAAATTGCCTGTGGCATTTTGGTAAAATCGATCGTATACTTGATACCATCCAAAAATATATTATGAACACAAAGTAAAGCACTCATTATGGATTTTCCATTCAGTCTTAAGATTTTCTTTCTCAACATAAGGGATTTATCTCTATAGAGAAAGCCAGGCAATGGCTAACCTTTGGGTGACATTACAGGGGTCTTCTGGGAAAGAAGCATGGTGCATTAGAAAAAGCATGCACAATGGACCAAGCTAAATTCGGGTTTGAATCCTTATTTGAATTCCTATCTTGGTGTTGTCCTAATATTTAGATGAGATGACACTCTAATACCCTTAGACCAGTGCCTGGAACATAGTGGGTGCTCAACAAATACTTCAAATGAAGTATTTGTATTTCCTCTCCTCTTTTCAAAGCCAATTGCAGAGTAAGCAATGGGACCATATTACTAGGCATTTCTGCATAAATCAATTGTGGGAAATGTAAATTTCAGAATCTCAGTACATTAAAAATTTAGGCAATGTGGCCAGGCTTGGTGGCTCATGCCTGTAGTCCCAACACTTTGGGAGACTGAGGCAGGAGGATCACTTGAGCCCAGGAATTTGAGGCCAGCCTGGGTAACATAGTGAGACCCCGTCTCTAATATATATACATATATATATATATTATATATATATACTCATGAGTATATATATACGCTCATATATATATACATATATATATATATAGGCTGGGCATGGTGTCACATGCCTGTAGTCCCAGCTACTCTAGAGGCTGAGGTGGGAGATCACTTGAGCCTGGGAGGTCAAGGCTGCAGTGAGCTGTGATCGCGCCACTGCACTACAGTCTGGGTGACAAAGCAAGATCCTGTCTCAAAAGCAAAACAAAAAACAAATTTAGAAAATGTAATGTGTGGTGATTTTTATTTGCACAGTTGGCCCTCTGTATCCACAGATTCCATGTCCACAGATTCAACCAACCTCAGATTGAAAATATTTGGAGCTAAAAAAAATAACAATATGACGATAAAAATAATACAAATTTAAAAACAAAACAGTGCAACAAATTACATTGTACTCGGTATTGTAAGTAATCTAGAGGTGATTTAACGTATATGGGAGGATGTGCACAGGTTATATGCAAATATTATGCCATTTCATATCAGGGGCTTGAACATCCTTGGATTTTGGTAACCAAGGGGGTCCTGGAGCTAATCCCTCATGCATTCCAAGCAGTGACTGTAATTCCAACTTGTGGAAGGAGGAAAAAACCCCAGAGAAACGTAATACACTGAGGAGAAATGAGTAATGGGTAGGGGTGTGGATTGGGGTACAAGGCCTCCTTTGCCCTACTTTCAGAGGCTGGTGGTCTAGTGAGGCCTCTTTCTGTCTCTTCCTTCCCACTCCTTCTCTAAGTCAGCCCTGCCTCCACTCACTGACCACAGAGGGCACAGGTTTCAGCTGTGCTGGGACCCCTGCTGTTAAGTGATGGCAGCTCTGGGAGTTCTTATTGACCTATGCGTATCTCTAGAACCCAGAACAGGGATGGGGAAAACTGGGCAGCCTGTGTCTGGTGACACATGTCTTTCGGTGTAACAAAGGTTTAGAAGCAGCCTGTAGAAGGGCCCACGAATCCACCGGGCCTGAATGCCTTCCTGGCTCTCCCACAGCCTGGGGCCTTGGTCAAAGCAAAGGTTAGAGAAGGAGGCACTTAGGTCCAGAACCACAAGGAATAGAAGCATCAGTCAAACCCAAAGACTCCTAAGAATCCAGGTTGGTTCTGAGCATATGTGCATCTCTGTGTGTGCATGTCTAAGGGGGTCTTAACCCAGTATCTGAAAGCTTTGGAATCCACTCAGTCTTGGGGTGGACAGAATAGAGATCTCCCTGGGGAATGAAGATACATTTCCCATGTAGTCATGCAGCCCGCAGCCAATACTCTGCCCTCTGGAGGGTGTTTCTGTAATATTCAGGGCCCCCTAGATTGCCCCACCAATGGCAGAGCTTTTGCCAGGTAAGTACTACCAGAGCCCTTTATCCTGACTGTGGATTCAGGATTCAGACCCTCCCCCAGTGTGCAGGCTGGCTTCTCACCTTCTACACAGTTGGTGGAGAAGAAACAGATATTGCGGGTCTCCAGGGGGTTCTCGTGGGTGAACTCGGGGGAGCGGGTCTGAGGCTCCGACTCTCCTGTTAGGGATGAGTTATCCACCTGAGGAGGAAGGGGTGCATAGTCATCACACTGGCAGGGCCACTCGTATGCACACAGCTGTCTCCTGAACCACCTCCAACCACACTCAGTCTTCATGACGAGGAACAAAGTTACACTTGCCCTCATCACATATTTATGGCATTACTCAGCTATTGCCCCTGTTCTGGTTTGGAAATCTTACTCCTCCTGACTTCTTATGTGACCTTGGGTTACTTGCTTAACCAACAGAGCCTCCATGTACTCATCTGTAAAATGAGGAATGTAAACAGAATCTCTGCCTTGCACAACCACAGGGGGCGCCACTAACATTGTAGTTTATGAAAATGCACCTCCTGGGGTCCTTCAGGATGCAACGTGTGTGGCCACATGCAGCAGCCCTGCATGGTCACACCATTCTTTCAGAATTACATCAGATAGCACATGTGAACACATATAAAGCAGCTGACACATAATTGGTACTCAGTACATGATTGCTAAAAAGAGGACCACAAAGAAACACCTGGGGCATAGAGCACTTGCAACACGCAGGTGCAAGGAGGCCCTGCGCAAGCACCCCACGCTGAGAGAAGGTTAGGCAGGGGCATAGGCAAGGTGCTGACATTTGGACCTGGGCCTCCCCACCTTTAAACCTCACTGGGCCCCTCTCAGCTCTGCACAGCCTGGCCCTTAGACTCAACCGCTTGCTCCAGTGTGGCCTCCTCACCTTACAGCCATGAGAAGAGATGATTCGGAGGTCAGCAGGGACTCGGTCTCCGCCCTTCACCTCCACCAGGTCTCCCACCACCACTTCCTCTGCATTAATCTGCATCTTCTCTCCCTCCCGGATCACAAGGGCTTGCTGTGGGGAGCCACGGGCAGCACATGAAATTCTTGTCTCTGCCCCCGCCTTCTTCTCCTGCTGGTCCCCCACCTCTCCTCCAACCCCGCCAAGCAGAAGGAGACGGCCCATGAAAAATCAGGGACTGGCGTGGAGAGCTGGAAGATCTTTTCCGCCCGGCTCCATCTCAGAGCACAGGAGTTGAGAGAAGATGAGTTGAACTCTTGCCGAAACCTTACGCCCTAGCCCAGAGCCCAGCCCGGCCATCTTACCTGAGGTACCATGTTCTTGAAGGAATCCATGATCTTGGAGCTTTTGGCCTCCTGGTAGTAGGAGAAGCAGCCAGTGACAATGACCACAGCTGCCAGCACCACACCCAGATATAGCTGGTAAGGAGAAAGAGTTTCAGGGACCTGCCCTTCCCCCCAACCCTAAAAGGGCAGCTGCCACTTGGGATGAGCAGGCAGAGCCATCCAAGATGACAGCCCGACCTTTGTCTGTGACTGAGAGTGATGATGGTAGGGGAAAGCCCTTCTCACTAACCTCCCCCTTGATCTGCCAACCTCAAGCCTGCTAAGACTGGAAACAGAGAGAAAGTCTTACGAAATTCCCGGGGTTAGGACTTTGCTAGTGGGGGAAGACAGGCATGCAGACAGGCTCACTTAAGTGGGGAGGAACAGGGAGAGATTGTCTCATTAATTAACGAGTATGTGAGTGTGTATGCCTTGTGTGGTGGAAAGTGCTTTACAGATATATATATAGAAGCCTCACCCCATTCCAGCCTAAACTGCAGTGCGTCTGTAGGACTGTGATGGGAAGTCCTTGTTCCCTGCCCACCCGCCACTGTGTTGGGGGTTCAGGGTTGGAGGACAGTCACAGGCTGCTCCAGGGGTCAGGCGTGTGGGCTCACGTTGTCGTTGGATGGTTCATCTTCCATGGCAGCCTGGATGCCGTAGGCCAGGAAGCAGAGGATGGCCCCAATCCACAGCAGGATGGAGAACCCCCCAAAAAGCTGACGGCAGAACTTGACCCACTCAGGGGTTGTGGGAGGTGGTGTGAGGGCATTGGGCCCATCTCGAGCCAGAATGTCCTGAGCCCGCTGGTTGGTGAGGCCCTGAGGGAGCAAGGAGAGGCGTAGGGGGATGCGTCCGGAGCCGACCCAGCCCCCACCGTGATCCCTTCAGCTCTCTCTGTCACTCAGGCTGGATTACAGTGGCGTGATCTCAGCTCACTGCAACCTCTGTCTCCTGGGTTCAAGTGGTTCTCCTGCTTCAGCTTCCCGAGTAGCTGGGATTACAGGCACCTGTCACTGTGCCCAGCAAATTTTTGTATTTTTAGTAGAGATAGGGTTTTGCCACATTGCCCAGGCTGGCCTTGAACTCCTGACTTCAAGCAATCTGCCTGCCTCAGCCTCCCAAAGTGGTGGAATTACAGGCGTGAGCCACCATGCCCAGCAATTTTTGATTAATGATTTTTAAAGAAATTTTTAATTGAAGGGCTCAGCGATTGACTGTACCACTCACTGTTCATGTGACCTTAGAAGGCTACTCTCCCTCTCTGTGTCTCCTTTCTTTAATAAACAGGTCTGCCATACCTATCTCAAAGGGTTGTTGTAAAGATTAGAGAATGTATGTAAAGCCTCTTTCACTATGTCACATACGTAGCAAGGGCCCAGCAAATCACTGTAACCACAGGAATGGGCTGTCAGCCCACGTGCCTGCGCTGTCAGCTCTGTGGAAGGCTGTGTATGACTGAAGTTGCTGGGGGTAGAGAAAAGGGCCCCACCTGGAGGTCCTCTGGGGCCTGGGTTCTAGGGAGTCCTGGCCTCTAGGGTATCCAGGGACAGACATTTGGGCTGGGATGCAGAAGATCTAGATTCTAGTTCTGGCTGTGCCACCAATTAGCCACATGACCTTGGCCCAGTCCCTTGTTTCTGGGCCTCATTTTCCTCATCTGTAAAGAGGGCTGGATTACAGTTTGTTTTTTTTTTTTTTTTATAATTTTTTAATTTTTTTTAGAAATGGGGTCTTCCTATGTTGCCCAGGCTGGAGTGCAGTGGTTATTCACAGGCCTGATCCCACTACTGATCAGCACGGGAGTTTTGACCTGCTCCGTTTCCGACCTGGGCTGGTTCACCCCTCCTTAGGTAACCTGGTGGTTCCCCGCTCCCAGGAGGTCACCATATCGATGCCAAACTTAGTGCGAACACCCGATTGGCATAGCGCACTACAGCCCAGAACTCCTGGGCTCAAGCGATCCTCCCAGCTCAGCCTCCCGAGTGGCTCGGACTACAGGCACGTGCTGCTGTGCTCGGCTGGATTACAGTTTTAAGGCTCCTGCCTCCTTGCTGCTGCATGTTGCTTTTGCCTCTTTTGTTCCTTCCCTAGAAGCCCCTCGGCTAACCTTGGACAGGTCCACTTGGTATTTTCGGCCCAGCTCATCCAAGGACAGCTTGTGGTCATCCTGGGGAAGGGAAGGTGAGTTACTTCGGGGAGGAGGCATCTAAGATGCATATGAGGCACTGCGGGGGCGCAGGGGTGAGGGGAGCAGCATGGGGCACACGGAGTTTCTCTGAGTGCGCTGGGCTGCAGGGACAGCTCTCCCAGCATGGGGCCCCTCCTCCACGGCCCAGCAGGGTGGGCTGTGGGCCTCACCATTGCCACCTCCTTCTTCAGCTCATCCAATTCCTTCTCTTTCTGTTTCTTCTTGCCGCCCCCATTCTCTGCCGTGGTGGCGGCAGGCGAGTACTCACGGCCGGCCTGTGGGAGGAAGGGAGAACCTGAGAGTCAGGGAGGAGAGGGGCTGGAGCTTCCGTTCCCACCACTCAGCCGGGAAGCCCAGGCAGTAGGGGCAGTGGGCTCAAAAGCAGTGGCTGCCTTGGGAGAGAAAGGGAGGATGGAGGGTGGAGGGACCCGAGGTCCTCAGCTTGTAGACCTGGCAGAACCAGAGGGCTCCCAGGTGAGCTTCAGGGAAAGGTGAGGGGCTCAGGGCTGAAAAGCACCACCTGAGTGGTTTCATGCTTGGGCTTTGGCTAAGATTTTGTTTGTGGAAAAGACCCTGCTGCTAAATACAAAACAAAACAAATATTGAAAACCTGCATCCTACACTATTTGGGAGACTTCTGGAAGGGAGTGGACAGGAATTTGTGGGGGGGGGGTTGTTGAGGGAGTAGAATCATTCTGTAGGAATGTCTTAACCCAACACCGTGGCAGTTTTACTTAGAGAGGGGTAGAGATAGGAACTTGGGGGAGTAAGAGTCTTTGGGGAGCCAGGAGGTTAGGCAGGAACGTGTCCAGAGAGTCAGGTCTGGTGGTGGGGATGGAAAGAGCAGGGCTGATGGGCTGAGAGGAGGCAGTGGTTGGAGAGTCAGGCTGTGTCCGGGAACTGGGGACACGGGGTGTGCTGGGAGCTCTCTCCATCCTGCTGGGCAGGCCTGCCTGTTACTAGACAGGTGGCAACTCACAGGACTGGACCCTCCACAAAGCAAAATTGGGTAACATGGGAGCTGAGCCCCATATGTCCCAAAACATAAGAAATTGTATCTGAGAGTAAATCTAAAACTACAATTTATATAACTCTCAAGTCTAGACATTCCTGGGTCATCTGGTGAATCAGATGGAATTTTTTTTTTGGGACAGGATCTCACTCTGTCACCCAGGATGGAACGCAGTGTGCAATTTCGGCTCACTGCACCCTCCACTTCCAGGGCTGAAGCAATCCTCCCCCCTCAGCCTCCCAAGTAGCTGGAGCCACAAGCATCCACCACCACACTCAGCTAAATAAAAACAATTTTTTTTTTTTTAGGGATAATTGCCTGGGCTCAAGTGATCCTGCCGCCTTGGCCTCCCAGAATGGTGGGATTACAGGTGAGAGCCAAGGTGCCTGACCAGATGAACCTTTTAATCATTTTAATTGTAGCCTTATGAGGCTCCTGATTTCCCTTCCACTCCAGGGCCTCAGGGCTCACCACCACCAGCCTTCCAGGGTCTCACAGGGAACTTCTGGGGCAGAGGGTGGGAATCTTTCCTTCCAAGAGGAGGCCTTCTTGGGGTGACAGAATAGGATAGAGGCTGAGGAAGGCCTGGGTGGCCATGAAAAATTCCAAAAAAGGTACCTTCTTACTTCCTTTTCTGCCCCAGTCTTCTCTCGTCCCTCTTCCCTCAGGAAATAGGGTCTTGTCATAGAGGGGCTGCTCAATTTCCACCTGGACACTGCTTCTCCATTGGACTCTACAGAGTCTGCACTAGGCTTTCAGGAATTAGCTTTCCCACACCATGATGCAATTTTTGTTTCCCAGAAACAGTGGATACCTGGGTAGGATCCACAGCCAAGGTGTTTGCTTTTTTTTTTTTTTTTTTTTAGGATAATGCAGTTTTGGGGGTTTTGTTCGCTTTTGTAAAAAATGGACTTTTTTGGAGCAATTTTTTGGTTCACAGCAAAATCGAGTGGGAAGTAGAGAAAGTTCTCATGTATCTCCTGCCCCCACACAGGCACAGCCTCCCCCACTATCAACACCCTGCACCAGAGTGGTACATTTGTTGCAATCATAAACCTGCATTGACACATCTTTGTCATCCAAAGCCTATAGTTTAAGTTTGAGTTTACTCTTGGTGTACATTCTATGGGTTTGGACAAATGTATAGTGACATGTATCCACCATGGTGGTATCATATGGAATAGCTTCGCTGCCCTAAATCGTTTGTGCTTTAGGGTAATGCATATTTTACCCATCGGAGTCAGGAGCAATCCCGGAAAGGTGGCAGCTCTCCTGTTCATAAGAGGTCACCAGTCCAGCATCTTGAGAGGTAGAAGTCTGACCAGGACAATCAGGAGCAAGGGTGAGGGTGGGGGATGCAGGGAGAAGCCAACACTATTGCTCCCAAGATACCAATGATTTAAAAGGATATGAGCTTTTGGGGGCTGTGTGGCTCAGAAGTACTCTTCTCAGAAAAGGTGACCTGTAAACTCGTGCGTTTGTCTCCATACCAGCATCTATGAGCCTGGTATCATTTTGGCCTCCTAAAGGCTGATCTCCTTGGGGAGACCAGAGCAGCCCAATGGAAGGGGTGGGGAAAGGCTTGTGAGTGGCTCTACCGCTCCCTTTCCCAGGTGACTTGCGATAATTCATTTAACTGAATGGATTGAAGTGCTTTAGGTTCACTAACGGTCTGCAGCGGGACAGAGCTGAGAAAAGGATGAAATGCAATCAAGAGACCAGAGGCAAGAGGTCAGGCTGATGGAGCTCCAGTGTGACCCTCAGGAACTTCAGGGACAGAAGTGGGCCTGGGCATGCACAGAGGAGCAGGGCTGGGGCTGTGGGCAGAGGAGCAAGGCGCAGAGGAATTTCTGTATATACAGATGCAAAATAAAGTTCATAAAAATTGGAATCAAATGCATGCTTTTTAAAAACTTGCTGGTCCATGCACTTTGGCATGCTGGATTGTGCCTGAGCTAAGCAACTCCATGTAGTGTCTCCTTTCCCCAAGCTCCCACCCTGCTCTCCAGCAGGCTCAGAGCTTGGGACACACTGCCCCTTCCCCCTCCTCCTGTCCTGGCAAGGATTTCAGGCTCTGCAGCCAGGAGCCTGCGGAGATTTGGGGCCAGCGGCTGCCCAGGCAAGAAAGAAAGAGAGGAAGCAAGGACCCCCCCCCAACCTCCCTCCGCTTCTCCCTCCCCCAGCCACAAGTCCCCCTCTCTGGGTCTTGAATGCTGAAGGAGAACAGAGAGTCCTTTTTGAGAAAGCCAGAGGCTGGGACAGAGTGGGGGCAGCTGGGAATCCGCCAACGCTCCCCCCATCTCAGCCTCTCCGTGGCAGCTGGAGCAGGCTGGGCTCCCTCCCACCAGTGTCGTCCCTTCCCCCAGCTCCCACGCTGCCCTTCACAGCCACTGGGTGATGGGGGGACAGTTAAACCTGGCTCTGGAGTGGAGATGCAGGGAAGAAGGAATTGGAGGCAAAATGATCCCTAGAACAGGTTGTAGGTAGCAGATGCTTCCCCTCTTCAGGGGTCTCTGGTAGGTTGAACTACAAGCTCAGGCCCTAAGTACCCCCACTTCACCTAGCCTCTTAGTTGAAACAGCCCAAATCTGCTTCTCATCTTGCTTTTGCATCACCCACAGCAATTGGGGATGGTGGTTAAGGGGAGTTTGGGGGTGCTAGGGGAAAAGGACAGACTGCAGAAGTCAAGGTCTCATCCCTTCCCAAGCAGGACCTCCTATGCTGGGTCTATCTCACTCTAAGATGGAGCAGGGAGGGGGCTACCCTCCCCGCCTTCTCTCTCCATTTGGATGGAGGCTTGGAGGGCTTGTCTGACCCTTTAACCCCTGCCTCTTCTCAGAGGTCCTGCATCTCAGCTGGGGATGCCCTTTCTATGGGGAGCCAAAGATGTCAAGATGCGGCTAAAGGTTCCCAGACAGATGTCTTCCCGCAGCTACGGCCTCTTCCTCCTTGAAACTCATACCTCACAGCTCCTAAGGGCAGGCCCACAGATTCTCAAGCACCCTCCCACAGTGACAACTATGCTTGTGCAGGCTTGAAGGCTTGTACATTTACAAATTTGCCTGCTGAGACACAAACACCGGTGCTCATCCGTGAATAACTGCCGCACTCCCTGCCTATGGAGAGCACGTGGTCATGGACACACACACACACACACACACACACACA